CTCTCCCTCACTCCCCACCATGTCCCACAGCCCCCCACCCTCTCCCACAGCCCCTACTCTACTGAGGACATGTGCTGACCCACCCACGGCTATGTCCCGAAACCACTCTCACATCCTGAGGTAACAGAAGCCAGGCAGCTTCTCCTGCTTCCCCAGCACTCCCCCAACACAAAGACACTCCAGGGGCCGGCCCGGTGGTGCAGCGGTTAAGTGTGCGTGCTCTGCTTTGGCGGCCTGGGGCTCGCAGGTTCGGATCCCGTGCGCAGACCTACGCACCGCTCGTCAAGCCACGCTGTGGCGGTGTCCCACACACAAGGTGGAGGAGGACGGGCACCTCTGTCAGCTCAGGGCTGACCTTCCACAGCAAAAAAAGAGGAGGATTGGCACAGACGTTAGCTAATCTTCCTCACACACACACACACACAGAGGCTCTGATTCGCGCCCTGCACCTCGGGGAACACTCACATCACACAACAACAACATATGCTGTCACTGCTGAAAAACAACGTCGAAACACGTTTTCTGTAACATGAAACAACTTCCTGTCAAAGGAATTCACAGAGTTTGATTCCCAAAAAGCGATTTTAAGATAAACAGCCATCCTAAAACAAGGCAGACTTCCATGAACGGGCTCTGCCCGCAGCCGGGAGCCCTGGACATCAAGTCACAAGCATCCTGCTGGAAGCTGGAAAGACTTCCGAGTCTCGCAAACATCCCAGCCAACCATTCAGGGGAAACGTTAACTACCAGACACCCGCTCTCCTGTCGTCTAAAACAAGATCACTGGGCGGCTCATTCCACTCTCAAGGTCTCCAAGTTAACATGATTTTAAACACATTTTCCTTAAAAACAAGACTTACAGCCATCACCTAGCTGCAGACAAGATTTCAGAAGTTGGAAAACAGAAGTCAGAAAGGCTGTGTAAAAGTTCAGATGTGATCCTAGAAAAAATTCCAATTAAACTATCACCAGAAAGCAGGTCTTTTTTTTCCCCCAAACAGCCCGGTTTGATTCGATGTCATTTTTTTTTTTAGGCCACAACATGACATTAACTCCCGGCCCGAAGGGAAAATGCAAATGTTTAACCGCAAGATGCGTGGCGTTTGGGCGAGCAGCATGAGCAGAGGCCGTGCCCCCACGCCAAGGTCCTGTCCCCCGGCACCCCTGTCCTGTCCCCCGGCACCCCTGTCCTGTCCCCCGGCACCCCTGCCCCCACGCCCTGTGGTCCTGTCCCCCAGCACCCCTGCCCCCACGCCCTGCGGTCCTGTCCCCC